ATCAAAACCTCTTGGATTCCACCAGGGTAACATTCACATCAGGTCAACGTCTCATGGAAGCTTTAACAAGATCTAGCCTACAGCAAACAAAATGCAATAAACAAAGTGACAGCAAATGCTACCAGTGCGATAAATCCTGCATGATCAAAAACATTTGCTACCAATTAATATGCCAAATATGTAATAAGTCCTACATTGGGGAAACTGGTAGGTTTAAAAGAAGTAGAGCCTGGGAACACTACAAATCAGTAAGGGATGGCAACAAATCTACGGCCATGGGGAAGCACTACCTAGAGGAGCATGCAGACATTTCAATGCCAAACATACCGTTTCGGTTTATAGTTCGAAAAAGATGTAAAGACTATGTGGACCGTCAATTGTGGCAGTCGGTTCTAATAAAACGTGAAAACCCAGAAATAAATACTCAATTGTCTGAGTCCGTAAATGAAGGTGATTGGATAAAATATACTTGGAAGTTAATGTAATATTGAACTTATAAACCTAGATAATTTTTGATTAATCAGTTTTATGAAGGAGCTATCTTGGTAAAATGTTTGTAGTATTATGAAGAATTGTTCACGGCTTGTTGCGGTTTGGATTCTTTTAGCCGTTATATTTTATGTTTCTTTTGGATAAATTTGTGATTGTTGTTGTGTTTCAAGATGTTATTTGTTGTTGTTATATTTCGTAGTATTAATAGATTATTTTAATAGATTATTTTAACATTGTATCTTTGCAGCTATGTAAGTTTTCAGTACGTCCTGTTTATGACAAAGGCATGTAGCCGAAACGTCGACAAAGAATTATGTTTTAACACACTGAGTGGAGACTCTCATTTAGTCAACTACAATTAAAAATAAATACCTATTTACTAGTAAATAATATGTAACTCTATTATTTTTACTAGTAAATACCTATTAACTAGTAAATACCTTGTAATAATTATTTTATAAATACCTCGTAATCAGCCTGATCGTTAGTTTAAACTGATCAATAATGACAGTAACTGACGCATTATTACCACAACTCGTAAACAAACGCTCTTACTGTTGTCGAGACAAGATTGTCACTAGTTACTAGTGCTTGTTACTTACATGTCTTAATTTACATTTTATACGTTTAGACGCACCATTGTTGTTTACTAACTGTCCTCACGTTAAATTATCTGTGGTTATCTTTTAAACTTGCGATATGTGACAGGGAGCAAACAGTTGCAGGGAGCAAACAGTTGCACGAGGGAGTAGATAGTTGCTAGTCACATGACTTTATGCTCCGTTACTGCACTATATGTTGTCGTCATTGTTTTGAGTCAAGCAAGTCGTTTAGTTTCTGTATTTGTATCATATTTATTTTGTATGTCCCTTAACACTCGTTTAATCTATTCTAAAAATAGCTCGTTTGAGGTAAGTTTCAGGTTTAAATAAGTTCGTTAACAATGTACCCGGTACACATTACACAATGTGTAACTCATTCCTCACATTGTTATATCTGCAGGGATGTATACCACAAAATGAATAATGCATTAATGAATATTTAAAATAGTATAAAAAACGTACTTCTACATCTAACGGACTATCTAACTCCCCCAACTTAACGTTACGTGTAATTATTGTAGTTTAAAGTTGTGTACTGTTCTGCCATGTAATAGTAGCTATTCTAATAGCAATGTCCATTATAGCTCTCTCTCTCTCTCTAGTTCTATACTATAACCCGTTAAACGTACAAGGAAATGCTACAGACAGCTCCCACGTGACCTCATCTCTTAACCATACTGCGCGCGCTATCTGTGTCACGTGGGCAGGACAGACAGGTCACATGGTCGAGACAGACAGCACAGACTCTCGAATCTATCTTTAGCTGTATATACAAATATACCGGACTTTAGGATATCTGTTTCTTCGGGTGGTGTGTGAAGGTTCATTGTGTTATTACATAGTAATTATCCAATTATGCACTTTGTAATTACCACCAATTATCCGATTAATTATCCAATTATAGGGTTCTAAGTGATTCATTGACTGGGCTACTTTTAACTGATGTACATTCCTCTTGTGTTATAACTTGTGTTTTCGCTCTGATAATACTATAATAAAACGTCCGTTAATTGCTGGAATTTCTGAAATTTCTGAAATTTTCTCTTTATTCTAATTCGTGCATTTTTGTTAATTCACAAATTCTTAGCTTCGCCTGAGTTCGCCTTGTTGCTTAGCGACGTTTCAATACATACCAAGAAGTGTATCTAACATGTTTGCTACATGGCTCGTTAGGAGTCAGGTTTTATGAAGGAGCAGTAGTAGTAGACGTTGCAGTGTCTGCAGTAACCAAGTGTTAGTTAGAACTGGACAATATATAATAATAGAGTTCATGTGTCAGCTGTAGTCGCTGACAGGTCAACACTGTCCTCTCTCTCTCTGTTGGTTTGCTGTTTTTACTCACGTTTCTAGCGTTGCGAGGTGTTTGTTTGGTGTGTTGCTTTATAGTGCTTATTCAGTCTCAATACACGATACACATGATCATATCAGATGATCTTGATGTTTCTACTTTTACTTTTTACTGATTTTCTGTTTACTTAATATTTTAGCAACATTAGTTTATAAATATAAAACATTTAACAGCTTCATTGACTGAAGCTCTCTTCTTTCTTCTAAAGTTGGCAAAGTGCCTGAATTATTATTTCGTTCTAACTGCTCATTTATCTTAATTGACAGCAGTTGTAAACTGTAACTGTAAAAAGTAACTGTAAAAAGTAACTGTCCCTATTACCACTAGGCCATCACATAGTCAACAGTAGAACTTTAATAACTGTACAGAAGGTTCAGGGTTCGAATCCCAGTTTTACTCAGTCTAGGGAGTAGCTAAGGATTCATTGGATCTATGTGATCTCCTCGGTCGACTCAGCCGAATGATAGGAAACTTGATTGAGGGTTAAATGAGGAGGGGTGCCTGTGCCAAAAGATCAAGAATCTTAGGATACTCCTTCAGAACATCTACAATGTAGTGTACTGTTAAACAAGGGCGGTCGAACTATTCGATGACCCTGTAGAGGAATCTACGAACTTTACAAATTATATTTGTAAAGTTATATTTGTATTCCAGTACATGTTCCAGTACATGTTCCAGTACATGTTCCAGTACATGTTCCAGTACATGTTCCAGTACATGTTCCAGTACATGTTCCAGTACATGTTCCAGTACATGTTCCAGTACATGTTCCAGTACATGTTCCAGTACATGTTCCAGTACATGTTCCAGTACATGTTTCACTCATGTCTTATTAATGTACAGGCTGTCATCTTCTGATTTCAGTACCTTGTTTTTACTCATAAATGTATCTGTCACTTTTTTATTTGCAGTGCTGGTCTTGTACCAAATATGGGAAATATTTGAAGTGCTGAAACTTCCTTAGGGAGGATTCTCATAATTACTGTTGCTATAGTTACAATTCTCTTAATTACTGTTGCTATAGTTACAATTCTCATAATTACTGTTGCTATACTCTATAGTTACAATTCTCATGTTTACTGTTGCTATAGTTACAATTCTCATAGTTACTGTTGCTATAGTTACAATTATCATGTTTACTGTTGCTATAGTAACTACAATTCTCATGTTTACTGTTGCTATAGTTACAATTGGGGGCACCTGATGTTTAGTTTCACTGTGCATGTTTTAGATTACATTATATTCGTTTAAACTGAAACATTCAACTGATCTGTAGATAATTACTTACCAGTTAAGATTGTTTCGTACTTAACTTTCCCTCTTTCGGACAAGCCACCCATCATTACTCACTACTGACACTACCCACATACTACTGGCAGCTGCTAGCAATACTACTGACAGCTGCTAGCAATACACCACAGCATTCTAACATACAGCTAGCAAAGGTAACCAGATACCTTGACTATTTCACCAGCTAATTGGAGGACGAACTGAGTTCCTTGTCACATTTAACATTCTTTTGTATTGTTAACTACTACTACTACTGTTAATCGTTATGTCCTCACAATAATACAGCAGTATCATGCTACTTCCCTGCCTATTTTTGTTATAAACTAAAACACCATGACGGTGCACTGAAAGCTGTTCGTGTGATTCTTATCGTAAAGCTTGTGGCAGTAAGTGTTCCATGATAAGTTATAATATCAGCAAACTGATGTTACTGTGTGGTTACTATGTGGTTACTATGTGATGTCGGTGTAAGTTTCAGCGACTTCTACTTGAATCGTACCATTAGGAATATTTTCTGCTTTCAGACGCGGTTTTAGTTTCCAGTTTCATATGAATATTTCATGGCTTCGTTTGTTATGATATCTACAAATATTTTAGGCTGTTCTGATTTTTAAACATTCAATTAACATACCATGTAATCACTGACGTTTAGTTAACAATCATAAAATATGGGAAATTCCCGTAAAAATTCATTCAAGGCAATATATCTAAAATTAGGAAATCTAGGCGAATGATAGGTCCATATTATTGACTTTACGTCGAACCTTATCATGCTGAGGTCTCTAAAGAAGTAAATCTTATAATGAGGCATGGTTCACATATTACCAGGTTACCAGGTTACCAGGTTACCAGGTTACCAGGTTACCAGGTTACTAGGTTACCAGGTTACCAGGTTACCAAGTTACTAGGTTACCAGGTTACCAGGTTACTAGGTTACTAAGTTACCAAGTTATTAGGTTACCAGGTTACCAGGTTACTAGTTTATCACATATTACCTTCGCCAGCCAGCTGGGGAAGGAGGGAGGTTTGAGGAATTTTAAGAGTGCGTAAGGGGGTACCTAAGATAAAATGGTAATTTCTGGATTTACATTATAATATGCGAACGATCCCCTTCAGAAATATGTGAACGATCCCTAAGATTTCTAAGATCTGCATTAAAATCAAGGAAAGTTGGAAATCATCTCAAGATTTCCCCTACTCGGTATAAAAATAGTTATAAATTTATAATATTATAATATCATAAATTTATAATATTATTACGTTATAAATCTCCCTACCAGCTAAAAATCACACTTTATTAATTAAATTTGTGTTTTAACAATTTAATAAGAACAGAGTTACCAGCACAGCCCATTCTGCAATCAGTAATATTAAGAATGACCATAAGTTAACAATTTGATAATAAAAAGTTAACAATTTGATAATAAAATGCCATCGTAAAACTGATGGCATAAACTTCATCAAATAAAACATAATATTATATAGTTAAACATTTTACATTGAGCCAATTAGGTACTAGAGGCTTTCGCTGCTTAATTATTGACTATAACTGAAAAGTTCGCCTTTTTTGTTTGGAGTTTACATTTATGTCTTGTTACACTTCATAGTTTGCCGCAAATAGTAATAACAAGGTGTTTACTAATTTGTTTATTAAGATGTTTAGTTTTAAGTTTGGGTATTGAAGCTGGTGAGCTGGGGTGAAAAGCACAACTAAATAATTAAGTGTAACAAGTTGTCATTCTGATTACCAGGTTACCAGGTTACCAGGTTACCAGGTTACCAGGTTACCAGGTTGAGCGGAGGTGAAAATCACAACTAAATATAAGTGTAACAAGTTGTCATTCTGATTTCATTTCCATTTTAATACACATTTCTTTGGTTGGGGTCTGATACACAGACAATGTTTTAAACTTTCACACCACATATCAAACATTTCAACATTATCAACAGTTTAAACTTCCTTCTGTTGACAGTTTCAACTTGTAAACCACGTGGTTACCGCGTGGGTTGCCAGGGTGACCAGCTCACATCATGAAGTCTGCGCCATGGTCCTGGCGTGGTGTCGTTATCTTGTCCTTGTTCTTCTCTATGTAGTCGTGCACCTTCAGCTGCAGGCATTATGGTATATAAACTATAATTAGGATTAATTAACTGTAATTAGGATTAATTACGTTCAATTAGTGCTAATTTTACTACAAAGTTCCTCACGTAAGTAAAGTAGATATGATGAGCCACATCTATTAGCTGAGTGAACGCGCTCTCGTCATGTGTCCGTATCAGTTCCATGTCCAGGTGCTCCTCCTTCGGTCTCAGTCTCCATCTTAACTTGGGCAGTACTCGGGGGAACCTTCTCTTGGGTTTCAAGCTCGCTATCATCTGCCATCTACCTGGCTGTACTTTCAACCTGCAATCATGGTAATGTTACCTTATATGTGAGTGTCGCCAGGCAGCATTACCTTATATGGTAGTGTCACTAGGCAGCATTACCTAATATGCTTGTGTCACTAGGCAATGTTACCTAATATGGTAGTGTCACTAGGTAATGTTACCTAATATGGTAGTGTTACTTTACACCTACCTGGCTGTACTTTCAACGTGCATGAACGGTTCACTTTAAGAAGGCTACTTTTCGCTCCTTTTAATTTCAAAACGGTAAAAATTGATAATCAAACTGTGCTCTACAATTTTGGAGTTCTCTCTCAAAGGTATTAAGAAAGAATTCCATAAGAAAGGTGTTATAACGACTGTCTGACCCTAAGGTGGCGATATAGTTGTTAGTAGCAAAGTAACCTAACTGGTAACTTAGTAACCTAACTGGTAACCTAGTAACCTAACTGACCCTAAGGTGGCGATATAGTTGTTAGTAGCAAAGTCCTCACTGTCAACCACCATGTTCATCAGTTCATTCTGTACCTCTACACCTAGCGTATCTCCGTTATCATGCTTTGCTTTTAACACTGTTAACCACAACTTTAACTGAAATATAAGTTATATTAGTGAAATGGCGAATGCTGACTTACCATGGTATCGAACTGGAAACCTGGTAACCTGGTAACCTGGTAACCTGGTAACCTGGTAACCTAAAGTAAAAGTAAAGCAAAATGTATGACATCACATCATCACACATGTTTACAAAATATTATCGCACTATGTAACCTAGTAACCTACCTAGTAACCTAGTAACCTAGTCACCTAATCACCTAGTAACCTCGTAACCTAGTAACCTGGTAACCTAGTAACCTAGTAACCTAGTAACCTGGTAACCTAGTAACATAGTGGCTTAGTAACGTAGTAGTCTGTCTAACTAAGAAGTAACTAACATACCTTATTAGATATAATCTGTACTGTAAAAATGACAAGAAGCTGAATTGAATTTGATGACTGGCTTAGGGATGTAATTAAGTTTTGGCATAACTAGATCGCAGTTGATGATGTATGGTTTATACTTGGAAATAATACTGAACTATGAACAGTTAAATTATTGCAAAGGCTGCGGTATATTCGACATTGTTAAAAAACCGAACTAGTAACTTACTAAAAAGCTTAAACAACAAAATAACCTAGTAACCTAAATGGTAACTTAGTAACCTAACTGGTAACTTAGTAACCTAACTGGTAACTTAGTAGAATAATTAGTAACCTAGTAACCTAACTAGTAACTTAGTAACCTAACTGGTAACTTAGTAACCTAACTGGTAACTTAGTAACATAATTAGTAACCTAGTAACCTAACTGGTAAATTAGTAGCCTAATTAGTAACCTAGTAACCTAACTGGTAACCTAGTAACCTAACTGGTAACCTAGTAACCTAACTGGTAACTAGTACTCACAGTAATCATATGATCCCTCATCTCTGTTAATACAGGTCCCAATATTTCCCCGCATTTAGCAATGTGAGCGTTTATCTGAATCTGATTTTTCTCTATAATTGGGCACTCTCTAACTTTTACTATAGAGGTCAGGGCAAACTGTTCGCTCTGAAGAAGAGTGGTATTACAGGGCGAGTAGGAGTTACAGAGTGATTATAATAATTAAACATCACCGTGGTGGTTCATAGAGATTTTAACCGATTTAGCCCAATTTTTTAATAACACCATTGAGGTTCAGAATCTCTAAAAAAAAGTCTTGTTTTACTTTTTTAATCTTTACCTATTAACCATTGGAAAATAAAACTTTAAGTTATAAACCTTCCTTGCATACTTTACCGGTAGAGTCTAAATTGAATAGTTTGAGATTTCCTTTACATTTTATATTTATGCATGTGCCCCACGGGGATGAATTTCTTATTACCATTGATATTATATATATTTTTTGAGTAAACATTGGCTGGTACCACGGGCCAGTCCCCAACAATAAAATGATAAGATTTACACTTTACAGTTTAGTTTAGGTAAGGTAAGTAAGTAAGTTAGTTTTACTCACGTTGACAAGGTTGTGTAGTTCTATTATCTTCTGTGGGAAGGTCATAGTGGTAAGGGAAACTGCCTGCGGAGGAGAACTGTTGTTAATTAGTCTAGTTTATCAGTTAATTAGTCTATTTAATTAGTTAATTAGTCTTGTTAATCAGTTAATTAGTCTAGTTAATCAGTTAATTAGTCTAGTTAATCAGTTAATTAGTCTAGTTAATCAGTTAATTAGTCTAGTTAATCAGGTAATTAGTCTAGTTAATCAGGTAATTAGTCTAGTTATCCTCTAATTCTACTGATTTATTGATAATTTAACTATGAGATAATTAATAATCAGCAGATATTTATCATAATAAAATAAAATGAACAAAATTAAAATAAACTAGTTAATTAGTAATTTTATTTAAAATTAAAACAAAATTAAAATAAACCTCTCTCACGATCGCATCTTTATGCTCTTCCTGAAAAGAAGTGATAAATATTAAATCCTCCGTAAGTTAACGACTGATAATAAATCGCTCATTTATCATACGAACAGCTTTAATAGTTTAATTTATTCACCACTAATGCTCGACTGCCAAAATTATTATTTCGGCAAAATTATTCGCTGGTTTTTATAAATTTGTTCAAGAAAACGGTCAAGGGCGCGAGGAGGTTTTAGGGGGTTGGGGTATCATAAGCAAGAAGTTAGGGGGCAAGAAGTTAGGGGGGCAAGAAGTTAGGGGGCAAGAAGTTAGGGGGCAAGAAGTTAGGGGGCTGACCTCATCCTTTACTTTTCACGCCTATTGGTCATAATATATTGGTCAAGATTCCAGCGAGTTTCACAAGAGAGAAGGGTATCTCATTATTATATAATAAGAAGAGTTGGTTACTGTAAGAAGGGGGTTTGGGTTGAGGAATGGGTTGGGTTGAGGAAGGGGTTGGGTTGAGGAAGGGGTTGGGTTGAGGAAGGGGTTGGGTTGAGGAAGGGGTTGGGTTGAGGAAGGGGTTGGGTTGAGGAATGGGTTGGGTTGAGGAAGGGGTTGGGTTGAGGAAGGGGTTGGGTTGAGGAAGGGGTTGGGTTGAGGAAGGGGTTGGGTTGAGGAAGGGGTTGGGTTGAGGAAGGGGTTGGGTTGAGGAAGGGGTTGGGTTGAGGAAGGGGTTGGGTTGAGGAAGGGGTTGGGTTGAGGAAGGGGTTGGGTTGAGGAAGGGGTTGGGTTGAGGAAGGGGTTGGGTTGAGGAAGGGGTTGGGTTGAGGAAGGGGTTGGGTTGAGGAAGGGGTTGGGTTGAGGAAGGGGTTGGGTTGAGGAAGGGTTTGGGTTGAGGAAGGGTGTTTGTGTTGAGGAAGGGGTTGGGTTGAGGAAGGGGTTGGGTTGAGGAAGGGGTTGGGTTGAGGAAGGGTTTGGGTTGAGGAAGGGTGTTTGGGTTGAGGAAGGGGTTGGGTTGATGAATGAGGAAGGGGTTGAGGAATCATACCATGAGAAGACTAGTCAGTATTGAGTTAGGAGACTTCACTTTGGAACCGGACCGACAACCCCTAAATTAGCGTCGTGACTTTCTTCAGACATACAATACTTCTTCTGTTATTAATTAGACCAATTAGTAAGACTAAATACTTCTTCGGTCATTAATTAGACCGATTAGTAAGACTAAATACTTCTCCTGTCATTGATTAGACTAATTAGTAAGACTAAATACTTCTTCAGTCATTAATTAGACCAATTAGTAAGACTAAATACTTCTTCAGTCATTAATTAGACCAATTAGTAAGACTAAATACTTATCCTGTCATTAATTAGACCGATTAGTAAGACTAAATACTTCTCCTGTCATTAATAAGACTAATTAGTAAGACTAAATACTTCTTCAGTCATTGATAAGACTAATTAGTAAGACTAAATACTTCTTCAGTCATTAATTAGACCAATTAAAACTAATTAGCATTACTTAGTAGGTAGACTCATTATCAGTACATTTTATAAGCAGTCAGTATAACAAGTCAACAAGAGGGAAGCATAACGACAAGTACTCAATGATTGAGCTTCATAGCAAATAAGAACAACTCAGCAGGGTCAAAAGTATTGTAAGTAGAGAGTTAAATTAAATAAACCTATAAATAATGCAGGTAATACTGTAATAGTACTACTACAGTACTACTACTAGTTACTACTAAAGCTAGGTAATTACTACACAATGTGGTAAGTAAATAAATAAATAAGTTAGCTGTAAGTAAAAACACAACAACGCAAAACAGGTCCGGAACACAACCCCACTAGAAAGATAAGGGTCCAAGTAGTCCCTACAGGGAAGGTGAAAAATACGATAAATTCCATCTGAGAGATTAGAGGCAGATCAATTTAAACCGAGGTTACATTCTCTCCCTTCAAAACGCTCTCTCTCTCTCTGAACACCATGTCGTCACACCACGTGACATGACGTCACACCCCAATTAGAGTGTCATACAGACTGATGGAGAGGTGAACAAATTAGGCCCTGTATTGGAGGCTGGCTGAGAAACACAGCAGAGGTGTTTGTACAGTAATATAAGGGGTGTGGTTACCAATGAACAAGCAGAGGTGTTTGTACAGTAATAAAAGGGGCGTGGTTACCAATGAACAAGCAGAGGTGTTTGTACAGTAATATAAGGGGCGTGGTTAGTAACCACTGGTAACCACTGGTTACCAATGGACAAGCCCTGAAGTACAGGATAATATGCCCGTGTATATTCCGCTAGAAATTAGAAGAAGAGTACAGTACCCAGGTAGAATATCTAGATAGTATCTCGTGATGATGTGGCAGGTTGTTACCTGGTAACCGTAACTCGCTGGTTCTGATACACGTGCAGGTGTATCTAATTAGACTACTGATAACAACCTGATTACCTGATCTAATCACCCCACAGAATTACTGCGAAAATCCTCAAAAATTTAGCTGATTCTGGGATTACGCCTTGGAGGTATGCAGTGCAGGTATTTCCCTCCGGTATTTCAACTCTATTAATAGATACCACGATTTCAGGGCTGTCTGCGACAATTTACCCGCACAAATAATACAAAAAAGGAACAAAACTAAAAAGTATAAGCTGATAATTCCTTTCTGACAGTCTTAAATGTTGACAAAAAGAAAGAAATTGAGGGATCAGGACGAATACAAGTAAAACATAAAGAACAGTAAGGCTACAAGGTGTCAGATATTGACTGTGAAGAAGGTTGGTACAGGGCCCTGAGATTCTCCGTTACTAGGCGACCAGACACGGGCTCGGTAATTACTTAATGACCTGTAATTACTAATTATAACACTGCTGACTTGGCACACTGCTAAACCACGTACCAGGTATTTTACTAGAGAATCTTTGTCACGTGGTGGGAACTGAGCTGGAACGGAGCTGGTTTCCCGCCAAAATGTTGCTAATCAGGGTGCAGCCTTGAGCTCTAGTTCTGATTTGTAACTTCAGAGACGAAACTGTACAGACAAAAATACCAAAACGTTCCAAACATTCCGGAGAAACTGGCAAATACCAAGAAACTGCGTCATCACTAAAAAAATAAGATCTTTCTGTGGGAGTAAGCAAGCTTTTTAAACTTATGTATAGTCCAGCTGAATAGATACTCACAGTTTCAGTTTTAAAAGCCTTAATCACGCTTCAAGTATCCCAATCGTATTAATATAAAGTAAATCTGACCAAAAACATAAAAAACAATCTATAAAATTAGAGCTTAAAGCTTTAAAGAAGTCAAAGTATGAATAAGAAAGGTATGTCATGAATCAAGAGACTGAAAAACAAAGCATGTAATGTAAAAAAAGCATGTAATGTAATGGCTCCGTCATCTTTAATAACAGTTACATAAAAACAACATATAACTATAAGTTGTATACGTTATTTTATGTTAGTTTATTAAATTATGCGGCGTTTATTGTAAAAATAATCACTATGTTGATTATGAGCTTTCAGATAGTAAATGTATAGTTTGTAAAACTGTTCAGAATGCAGTCATCAATTTGATGACGTCACCACATGTGTATTGTGTACAACCAATTTCATGACGTCACCACATGTGTACAATCAATTTGATTACGTCACCACATGTGTAAAATCAATTTGATGACGTCACCACATGTGAACAATCAATTTGATTACGTCACCACATGTGTAAAATCAATTTCATGACGTCGACAAGTGTACAATCAATTTCATGACGTCGACAAGTGTACAATCAATTTCATGACGTCGACAAGTGTACAATCAATTTGATGACGTCACCACATGACGTCACCACAAGTGTATAAACATAATCAATATTTCAAATAAGCAAGAGAGGGACTGTAAGTATAAGACAGAGAGGCCAGTGCTGAAGAAGCAGCTAAATAGCGTGAGATACCTCTATCAAACTCAGTAATTTGATTTTAAAATGCTCGGAATTTGCCAACTTTTCACCGATAGGATGATACCATTTTAGGAGGCAGTGAAGATAATGGGGTTAACGACGGTAAAGTTCAGGGCCTGTCCAGGGCCTGTGCTCCTTGGGTCATAGATCTCAGAGACATTCGTCACATATCTTCTAGAGTTTAGAGTGTAGACCAATAACTCAATAATGAGACTACGGACGCGTCAAGTTTAATAAAATAATAACAGAATATGTAGCAGAAATAATAAGAAAATATAATAAAGTTTATCGTGCGGCCATCAAATTAGAACTAGGACGGGCCCGATAAGAAAACTAGTAAAACTAATGCTTTAAACAACACATTTTACACTTTTACAGATATAATAGCTTTTTAATTACCAGCTATTATAACAGCAAGAAACTGGGTAGATTCCAACTCTAAATCTAACAAAAAGCCACGTTTCTAAATCTAATAATGGGGTCCCTGCCATCCTGATACCAGCTCTAGTGTGGCGTAATGTCACGTGGTGTGACGTTATGTCACGTGGTGTGACGTAATGTCACGTGGGGCGACGTCATGTCACGTGGGGTGACGTCATGTCATACTGATACCAGCTCTCCTTGGCCAATAGTGGGGAGGCAGCAGGGGGCCGTGTTAGGTCAGGGTGAAAGAAGCAGGGGGGCCGTGTTAGGTCAGGGTGAAAGAAGCAGGGGGCCGTGTTAGGTCAGGGTGAAAGCAGAAGGGGCCGTGTTAGGTCAGGGTGAAAGAAGCAGGGGGCCGTGTTAGGTAGGGGCCGTGTAAGGTCAGGGTGAAAGTAAAGCAGGGAGGGGCCGTGTCAGGTCACGGGTGAAGAAGCAGGGGGCCGTGTATAGGTCAGGGTGAAAGAAGCAGGAGGGGCCGTGTAAGGTCAGGGTGAAAGAAGCAGGGGCCGTGTTAGGTCAGGGTGAAGACAGCAGCGGAGGGGCCGTGTAAGGTCAGGGTGAAAGAATGCATGGGGGCCGTGTTAGGTCAGGGTAAAGAAGCAGGGAGGGGCCGTGTAAGTTCAGGGTGAAGCAGCAGGGCCGTGTTCGGTCAGGGTGAAAGCAGCAGGGGCCGTGTTAGGTCAGGGTGAAAGAAGCAGGGAGGGGCCGTGAAAGGTCAGGGTGAAAGAAGCAGGGCCGTTAGACAGGGTGAAAGCAGCGGGGCCGTGTTAGGTCAGGGTGAAAGCAGCAGGGGGCCGTGTTAGGTCAGGGTGAAAGAAGAAGGGGGGCCGTGTAAGGTCAGGGTGAAAGAAGCAGGGGGCCGTGTTAGGTCAGGGTGAAAGAAGCAGGGAGGGGCCGTGTAAGGTCAGGGTGAAAGAAGCAGGGGCCGTGTTAGGTCAGGGTGAAAGCAGCAGGGGCCGTGTTAGGTCAGGGTGAAAGAAGCAGGGAGGGGCCGTGTAAGGTCAGGGTGAAAGAAGCAGGGGGCCGTGTTAGGTCAGGGTGAAAGCAGCAGGGGGCCGTGTTAGGTCAGGGTGAAAGCAGCAGGGGGGGCTGTGTTAGGCAAGGTGAAAGCAGCAGGGGGCCGTGTTAGGTCAGGGTGAAAGCAGCAGGGGGCTGTGTTAGGCAAGGTGAAAGCAGCAGGGGCCGTGTTAGGCAGGGTGAAAGAAGCAGGGGGGCCTTGTTAGGCAGGGTGAAAGTAGCAGGGGGCCGTGTTAGGCAGGGTGAAAGCAGCAGGGGGCCGTGTTAGGCAGGGTGAAAGCAGCAGGGGCCGTGTTAGGCAGGGTGAAAGCAGCAGGGGGGGCGTGTTATGTAGGGTGAAAGCAGCAGGGGGCCGTGTTAGGCAGGGTGAAAGCAGCAGGGGGGCCGTGTTAGGCAGGGTGAAAGTAGCAGGGGGCCGTGTTAGGCAGGGTGAAAGTAGCAGGGGGCCGTGTTAGGCAGGGTGAAAGCAGCAGGGGCCGTGTTAGGCAGGGTGAAAGCAGCAGGGGGCCGTGTTAGGTCAGGGTGAAAGCAGCAGGGGGGGGGGCCGTTTTAGGTCAGTGTGAAAGCAGCAGGGGGCTCTTCAACACGGTAACCGTGTCTAACTAAGCACAAACCGTAGAATTAGGGTAATAATTACAAGACAAGGCCATCATTGCAATTTACTGGTGTCAGTTAACGATATGTTGTCAGCTCAGTCTCTCTTATTTCACTTTCAAATGACATTACTTCTTTACTTGTGACGTCATGTCACGTGGTGTGAA